TTAGCTTTAAAATACGCTACTCCAAGTGAAATACGTGAAAAATCACAAATACCTTAGCTTGTACGAACAGCTATAAATCTTTCCATATTTTTTATGACAGAGATACAAGAGAAGTTTTTAATATATTTAAAATAAAATTGTGCATTTGAAAGATTATGAATGAACTTAGTTAATGTATAAAATAATGCAATATTTAAATTCCGTATAACATACGTTTAAAATGTAGTAATATATAGATCAAAATTTGTATTATTTCAATTGAGGGAGCATTTCTACCTTATATTAATAGCGGTATTAACATTCGTTTACATTTCACAAACAGTGCAAACTCGACCTCCTGTATAACAAATCCGTACATTTTATACAAACAGCGAAGTATTAAAAACAGTAAACGTGTGCTTCTATTATTCTTTTGAACGTATTTATTTACTCAAGCAGTGTGCTATGAAATGCACAAAACAAATGGTCAAGAATAATGAGAATTTACAAATTTTAACAGTGTGCAAAATATACTTATTTATAAGTTTATGTGCCTTTCATAAAAAGAGGAGAATAATGGTGTTCATGGCTTCATGCTGATCATATAAGCTGCGCGACGTTTAATTGTAGATACTGCACGATATTCGTCGGGTCATTCGACGAGGCTGTTGCGTTACATAAGATCGTAATAGATAAATCAATAAACGCATTGATGTACTGTGCTAGTCAAAACTTAATATACAGAGCTTGTTATGAAATATATTGATATACTGAAATCGATATCTGAACTATACACGATGTTTTATTGTACGTACTCTACTCACCGTGACATTTAAAAATTGTACAGTACAATAGACAGATTTAATCGATACGACTGTAACATAAAGCAGTAGGTATCCGCTATGATTTTTATGTACTTAGAACATTAATTACACTCTTAGGCACTTTATGAGACTATATTCTTCCACGTCTCATAAACACATATTCAGTCTTTAACGACAAACACCTACTGAGATATAATTTTTATAACAACTCCTAGAAGCTAGAAGTTTATATTTCGTAACAGAGAAAGTAATAAATCAGAAATTAATTTACTAAATATAATTCTCGATTACTTATTATAAACAATACTTATTTATGAGACAAAAGATTTGGAAGGGAACACACCTTCCTGCACTTTTTACGCTCATTGTTCAAAAGCATCCACCGAGAGCGTCTGAACTATACACGATGTTTTATTGTACGTACTCTACTCACCGTGACATTTAAAAATTGTACAGTACAATAGACAGATTTAATCGATACGACTGTAACATAAAGCAGTAGGTATCCGCTATGATTTTTATGTACTTAGAACATTAATTACACTCTTAGGCACTTTATGAGACTATATTCTTCCACGTCTCATAAACACATATTCAGTCTTTAACGACAAACACCTACTGAGATATAATTTTTATAACAACTCCTAGAAGCTAGAAGTTTATATTTCGTAACAGAGAAAGTAATAAATCAGAAATTAATTTACTAAATATAATTCTCGATTACTTATTATAAACAATACTTATTTATGAGACAAAAGATTTGGAAGGGAACACACCTTCCTGCACTTTTTACGCTCATTGTTCAAAAGCATCCACCGAGAGCGATTATACGCTGTTGAGAGCATTACAAAACGAAATTATTTACCGCCACGGATAGAGTAAAAAAAAAATAAGAAGAAGAAGAAAGGAAATTATTCATAGCCAGGATACGGGATTCTAAAGGGAACCCATTGTAGATGCATACGAGTGGCTCGTGAGAATGCTTCTCGCCATTCACTTCTCTTCGCGTATATCGAATTACCTGCGTTGAGGGGTTTCGTGCTTTGCAGGGTTTTATCGACGGCAGGGTCAATCTATTTTTACGTGGTAGCTTATGTGTTCTCCGTTTCACCGGTTTACAGACCGGCTATAAATCAAGTTACGCGTAGGTAAGCATTCTCCCTGTGTGCGCTCCTTCATACGTAAAGAGATCCTGTAAATTGAAATCGTGAGGCAACGCGATCTTATCAATGTTTAATAAGTGAATTACTCGTGAATCGATACATGTAATTGCAGCGATGGGACATGGGCGTAGCAACAGCGCGTCACTTTTACTCAGACGTCCTTGACAGAGAAATTGTCCGCTAAATTAAATATTACTTCAATCTCATTTTTTAATAATAAATTTCGTTAAACGAAAATGCAAGATTTAGAAGCATTTTTCCTGGTTTCTCGTGTAAATATTTTATCCACTTGGCGAAGTACAGCTGCATTTTGAAGTTTGATATTTGCTTTTAAAACAACAGATGCTTTATATTGCTCTGGAAGTCTAAACTGTGGAAGCCGTCGTTGATTTTACAATCGCGCCAATAGCAAGGATTTTCTTCCGAGAAACGGGCTAAGCCAAAAGCATTTGCAATTTATCTTGCATTCTCGATCTTATCCGTCACATGTTCGGAATAAGAAGAGGAGAGGTCTCACGGTTCAACTCGTCGCGTCATGTTCACACGGCTTCTATGCAGCTTATGATCTCTGCAACTGCGCCGCGAACAACCTAACATACAATCGTCTAGTATTTGAACTTACAATTAGTCTTCATGCCTGAGTACCTTTTGATAGCTATCATTATCTAACGGAGTATCAGTAATAGCAAAACAGAAGTCACACATTGTTTTAATAATTATCGGATCTGCAGATGTAATTATAAAAGTTACATCCGAGGATACTTCGAACAGCAAACTATATAGAGGCTTGGCGATAACATTGTTACTTAACAAAACAATTCACTTATTTACCATAGATAATTCTCTGATTAATCGCGAAATAAAAAAATGAACTCGGAGATTTGAAGATTTCTTTAGATTACCGGAAATCCACTGTTCAGCGTTTTCGCTGTTAGGATTACCGGTAACGCTTCTCCGCGAAAATCGCATTAGTCAAGCCAGGAAAAATCGTCGATACACCGAAGCGGGATTAATCAGCGTACAGACGAACGAGGCAGCAAGGATATGTGTACACAATACACGGCGAGGTATGCAACGGCCTCCTGCCTTTCACGTATTTCGATGACGTATAAAATCCCGCGGGGCAAAACGACAGTGACGTACAATACGTACGATGCTTTCTGTTACGTTGCCTTTAATCTCGTTGTTACCGGTTTCGCCGAGGGATATCGACCAGCCGCAAAGTTGTGCGCTGGGAATTTCAGCATATACGTGAATCTATTCCGGGAATGTGGCCAGGTGGTGCACTTTACCATGGGTAAAAGTCAATGTGTTATCATTTTAATGGTTGCACGTTCATTGAGCATTCAGGTATTATGCAATGAAAATACTGGTTAACTAAACGACGCGAGAAACTCGAATACTGAAATAATAAGTTGGGACGCGTGTAGGACGTATTTATAACTTTGTGTATTTCTGAAGATCACTATAGATCTAACAGCTATAATTTTGTAACTTCCCGTCCGTCTTTTACGGAGTTTTAAAAAAAAGAATGACTGCGTATATTTGCGACATAGAACAGATCGATGGCTAACTCTATATAGTAGTCAAATTGCGTTTACCCGAGAAAATTTGATAACTTGCGGTCGTATGTATGTATCCATGATTTACATACGTTTGCATCATCGATTTTATTTGAAAAGTGTGTCACTCATTTATCAGGAGTAATAGTGAGAGTAGAGCTAAACTTTAGATCTTACATTCCACGCCTTGGATAATATTTGTTAAACTACTTAGTCGATTTTATTACGTTTCCACTTATTTCATTCGCTCGAGAGTGATGCAGTTTCTTAACGTTTCTATTTTACGATTGTTACATGCAAGAAATAACAATTAATAATGATCCGTCATTGTGGAAAGTGTGAGTTACGACAAAATAATGGAAATGAGATTATTTTTTTTTTCAAACCGGGCGACCTCCGCTCTGTGAAGCTAAAAGAGTTAATGTGCGAATCCGGCACGATTTAAGATAGTTTACACATAAAGAAGCTAAAAAAAGAACCAACGGGAATGCCACTACTGTTTCGGAATTCGTTCTTTAGAATCGACGTTGCCACGACCATAGTTCCAACTGATTATGTTAAAATATCTTATCTCCCGAGACAATAGACACCTATACAAATACCGAGTAGCTCCAATCAACTGATAAATGCTAGCTAACAAACGAATTACGATCGAGCCTTGCTCACTTTGTTTCTTGTTGCTTTGCTTTTGCACATGCCGCGCGTGCTTCTAGCCCTCTCCTTCGTCGTCCCTCACACACTACTATATGCCTCTCCAGCCACGTAGAACATGCAGTATGCTATTGCTCTCAAGGGAAGAAACAACTGACAGTGCGAGTGCAAAGTTGGTTCCGTGCGTACGTAAATTTGAAACCGCGCATCGAAGATCGTCCGATTATTATCAAAAGCGAAATCCATCCCGCGGATGTTTCAATTGCAACTATTGCGCAAAAATACTTCACTAATAATAGTGTAATCCTCAGTGACGCGAAATTCGTTGGTTCCTCGAGGTGCGGGAAACTTTATCGCGCAAAACCAGGTACAAACTTAGATCATCCAAATGTGGCAATTCTCGTGTCACGCACGATTACTATAAAACTGATTGTGTTATTATTCGAGTTTAATGTCGTCGTTCATCACGCGGTGTTTATTGCAAAAGCTCGAAAACCGGTGCGCGCGGAATAAATGTATATCGGCGTTTTCCAACCGTTCGCCGAAGTAGCGCGTGAAACATAGCGGAAAGTTCAAAAGTGAGCGGCGTGCGAGACAATTTTGTGTACGGACGGTCCTCCGTTCGTCTTGAACAACGATTATCTAAGTGTAATGCAATTGATCGTGGGATGCTGCAATTGTGGTGTAATCACTGCCGAACAGTGAATTCGCGTCAGACAAATCCCGTGGACGATCGCTAGCCGAGTTTTACCGGCTGCGCCTGATTTCTGGTTTGCTCTCCTAAATGCATAGCGATACTTTGCCAAGCGACTAGAGAAAAAGTGGAACGTACGACTTTCACGTTCGACGAAGGTATGCTTATAAAAAGAGCGTGGATGTTACACGTGCGTACATCAGAAGAAATGGGTTAATTCTTCGTTCCACATCGATTATTTCTACTGAACAGGATCTTACGCGATTGGCTATCGAATGATTCACGTTATCGATTCTTTGTAATTGTCTGCCGCAAACATTTCAGTACAATCGACTGTCACGCTTACTATCAATCATTTACTCGTGATAAGAGCCAATGTCAAGCTCCAACATTTTAATTAGAGTCATTATTGCCGGGTAATCTCTGATCTCCAATGTCTATTAACGTAAAATGCATGACACTGTAAGAATGACGTATTTATTTTGAAAAAATGCAGTGGAAAACTTTCCCGTACTCCTACTACGAAATGAATCGAAATTTTGTTCTATAGCTAGGCGTCGCATTCAGAACGCACTTCTAGAAATTACTGAAATTAATGCTGCGAATGGTTCTCGCATGTCATGCCACCGTAATGATAAAACACATATATACATGCGATAATTATACGAATTTCTTTCTTACCGTCCTACAAATGAGTTTCCAAGAAAACAGGCGACACAGTATCAGTGAAAATGCATATATTATCGATCTAATTAGTCATCTTTATCTTCACGGATGATCAACGCGCGAATAATTAAGCCCGGTATTTCCTCATGGATTACGCTCACTGACGCGCATAATGACACAAAAACGTTAATGAATAGCGAAAACAGAGATAGAAACGACCTCCTTATTCTGGTATTTCGGTTCACGTTTGCAAGATTTCTTAGCTAGCATCGAATCTTTTACGCTATACGTGTCCCACATGATAATGTATCTGTCTGTGCATTATAAAAATATCTCACGTGTTGAGTTTCATAAGTGTTCAATACTTCAACATTATCGTCGTGCTTGTTACAACATACTGCTCTCGAAGTCTTACTTTGAATGACGTAACAATAATCTATCTTCTTCTCTCATGCAAACGAGATTTTTATGATAACTGCTTCCCACCTTGTAAGAGCATAAAGAATACAAATAAGGTACAGTGTGTGGCCAACGGATTATAAGTATAAAAAGAAATCAGCTAGCGTACATTTTAGTATAATATGAATTATTCGAAATTCTCCCTCCTTACACCCATTTAATAATATTAATGCAAGGGAAAATTGACACTTCTTGACGTACTTGTAGGTAGCAAACTTTTATTGCCTTCAAGTTCAAGAGGACAGAGAAAAATTGAACGTCGCGACAGGGTTAAATAGTTCAATTGATATAATTGTCCTATCACTAACGGGAGACGACACTGTCGAATCGATCTGTCAAATTTAATTATTCTCTCATTTTCATTAATTATTCTTTCCACATTCGCACACATTTTATTATTATTGATAATTTATATTATTAAGCATGCTGAAATAGTAACATCATTTCCTTCCTCCATATCTACGATAGCAGATAAAATGATACGTTGGGTGGGAGTGTTACCAATTGATAATCGCAATTGATTTCAGTTCTGAGTTTGCCACGTGATTACAAGCGAGTGCAATAATTGCGGAGACTCGTTCATAAGCGTCGCAGAATTCTTCGGGTTTATAGTGCGAACCGGTAACAAGTAGAATAGAAAGAAAAAGATGCTGCGGCTGCCGGTGATCGTCGTTTTGGTGATTTCAATGTTCGGTAAGACAGAAATGCAATTATCACTTTACGTACATCTACGATAACACGCAGATTTATTTGAAGACCACGTTTCAACCGTAAACAGTACATCGACAAAATCTTAAACAATCGAACTAATCAAAATATACAGAGTTTCTTTACACTTGCAATCGCGCTGAAAATTTTCCAGGCATGCTTACGTGAAGCTCTAAGTATACTTACGCTACGCGATATCAGTCCTTAACTTTTTTTCACTCATATCCCCTGCATTCAGATATCATAAAATTTGCTTATGTTAGCAGGCAGGGTGTCGCCGGTGATGCCGAAAGAAGTAGAGATGAACGACAAAGGGAATGATACTGTTTTAAATATCACTAATAGCACCGTGAATGATACAATTTCAAATAATATTAGTAACAAATCGATCGAAGAGACCGTAAAAAAAACAGAAATTGTGACGGGTAAGTGAAACGAAACATTAAAATGATTTCGTACTTGTATCAATTTTGAATACTTATTGGGGTGTGCATTTTGTTATTTTAAAGAAAAGCTAAAGAAGGATATTTATATCACTGTGCCACCAGACGCGAGCGCAGCTACGCCAGTCAACGATCTCAAAAAAGTGGAAAATAAAACTCAAAATTGTACTTCTAACAAGGAGGCGGAAGACATGCTTCATTGTAAAGTAATGCCGCATGACAATGATGACAATGATAACACAGATTCGACTTCTCCATTAAATGCAACAGGTATGTTTTATATGGAAGAAAATTGCATTATGTACATATATATTTATAAAGGATGCTCTTTTTCATAATTTTCTGTTTCGTAAGAACCTACCACCACTGTTACGAGTATCGCGAGCAATAAGACTGAAGTGAACGCGGAATCTCAGGTACCGGAAGTTCAAGATAAAGAACCAAGCGGAAAGAATAAGACAGAAGATACTGTAAATACTACACGCACCATGGATCAAGATACTTACAAAAACGTAACTACCGAACCGAATCACCTCGCTACTACTAATCATTCAGGTATGAAAATTTATATTTTACAAATATAAATTCTATATTTATCTAATGCATTTGTATAATGTTAAACGAATGACAATATTAATTCCGTGTTATTATAAATTAAAAATATTCCTAAATTGCAGATGTCTTAAATACGGATTTGAAACAAAATAATAGTTCTAGCGAAGCATCGGTTCTATCACCGTTGCTGGAAGATAAGGCTATTATAAGCTCTGACAATGCCGAGGCAGTGAAATCTGCCGAGAGACCTAAAGCCAAGCGCATGCCTTCGGGAATCATAGCACTGGTTACGGCGATTAGTTTCGCGGTAGTAATCGGACTCGTATATATTGGAATGATTGTCTGGAGGCGATACATCGAGTAAGTACGAAAGTAGTCTTCAATTATATAACATAATAAGTTACTTTAATGATATTTTTATGTTTTAGATACAGATACGGACATCGGGAGTTATTAGTTAATGAATTAGAGTTTGATACCAATGATTTACGGCATTTCGAGGTAAGCGCGTACTTTTACTTTTGCGATTGAAATATTGTTCATGTAATTCGATTTTCCTGTTACAGCTGTGATCTAATGAGAGCAGTAGCTTATAGAAAACTGAATGATCCACGGCTGAGGCTGGTACTATGTAACTATTAAAGATTCATTGATCTGTGATACTAAGGACATGTATTACGTCTGACAGTCAGAACACCAAATATGTTTGGATAATGTTATACATTTCTTGTAATGTAATTATTTTATATACATTATGCGTACAACCACCTTTTTTTCAACACGTTTACCATTCTCTTCTCTCTCTCCCTTCCTCTCTCTCTCTCCTGTTGAAATTGAAATAGTGTTACAATGTGTTAACCATTCGTATTTTTATAACGATTATGATGATGCAGATCGCTGAATAAATGAGACGTTTACGAAAAATGATGGGTGCTAGAGTAACATGTATCAGTTTTCTTCGATGTTAGCGCGACTATGTTATTTTAAAGTGTGTATGTATTTGAAACTGTTGAAAATGTGCATTATAAATTATATCTTTGTAACGTAGTATCACAATATTCTCTCCATCCTTTTTTGTACCGCGTGCCACGAACATGTAAATATTTTTAGTTAAATAAATTAGTGAATTATATTTTTAATCAACGAGCTTTTATTTTAGAGCGTTAAGGTAGTCGAGTCCATGTAGAAATAATGATACACATTCTTCTTAATAAAGTACAGTGATACTTCGTAAAAATCACGCATGTAAAAAACGATAAAAAATTACGTACAATCTTAAGTATCCAGATGTAGTGTTAACTAAAGAAATTTTGCAATAAAACATTTATTTATAGATTTCAGTAAAGCACAGTTTAAAAAATAGTTACAAATAAGTACACATTTTCCATTCTGCCTTTACTATTGTTCTCTGTTTGGCGTTAAATATATACCTACATCGATATATATATTTATCATATACATACATGAATTTCGTATGAGATATCTACATTGTTGGTTGGAGAAGTATTCCTTCATCAATGGTATTTAATAACATCGATTGGAAAGTGATTTATCTTTCTAATCGACATTCCAATCTTATAATTAAGCTTTCTTCTTCGTGATTACAAGAGGACCCACATTATCTTTTGTCGCTTCGTTATGACGTCCATGGGAACCGTCGCAATAAGGCCACTGCAACATAAAAAATTATATTTTATTAAGATAATTCCTGTATCATTGCATGTGATTACATAATATCAAGATCTTAAACTTATTCTTGGATATACTTGATTTAGGTCAGTTATAATGTGGGTCTAAAATCTTGACAGCTCTCGAGTACACAAAAATAATAGAGGAGAAAGCAACTTACATTTTCAGATCTCCAGCAACGGCAAAATGCAGCTTTCTCACTTATATCTTCTATGTCAACGGAATCCACCACTTTATTTACATCTTTCTTTACAGTAAGGTTCACACGTCCACACGACTGCAAATGTTATGTACATATCTTGTGTAAATAAATGATAAGAAGAACATATTGATCTTTCAGTGACAAAAATCAAAATTCATAAATGAATTGAAATCGACTGATTCAAGACAGTGGCAAAAAGTAGGAGCCAAAAGATTGAAGCAATAGCGTTACGTAATCAACAAGAAAAACAGCAAAATCCATCGTAACATGTACAATATTATAATGATCTCTTGATAAAAGGCAGTTTACTTACTGGACCTCTAGCCAGAGGACAAAATGCTTTGTATGACATATAACCGAGACCAGCTAACGCTGCAGTCGGTGGAATTAAAGCAATCCAGTCTCGTACTAGTAGAAAATTAAAAGAATTTGTTATTTGTGCTATTTGCTACTAGTTCGATATGCCACAGTAGTAATATGCAGTGTCACGTTTAAAGTTACATTTCCGCGAGTTACGCGACATGATTTTATATAATCATCGAATATACTTTAAATATATTCATTAATTTCTTACTTCCTAATCGAAACCATCCTCCTATAGAGTCCGGAACAGGTAATCCAGCTAAATAATTCGGAATAGATACTTTAACGAGATGTGCTACTGGCTCCATGACTGCTATTGCTATCACTACATTCACTACTGCTACAGTCAAGTTACTAATCGAACGATTTCGAACACAAGCTACTTTGCATTTTGCATCCCAACTGTCAACTATACAAATAAGTTACTTTTAAATTATTTCTACTCGAAAGCTTGAAACGTTGCGTTCTTTCTTTTCTATTTAATACACGTTTCATTTAAAAGACGAATCAAATTTTAAATTATGAATACATATGTTACAGCATTGTCTAGATCGCGAGTTTAAATACTGAAAATGAAGCTTATAAAAGTGATATAAATGTTCGCGTCAATCTGGAATAGGTGTAAAGGCATGCGGTTAAAAAGTTGATACAGGATGCAAAACTTTTCTGCACTCTGATTGCATTGTTGCCGGCAGACTTTGACCAGCGCAGTAGCCGAGGTGAAGGACCGGTGGGGTCTATGGTATGCCTTGTAGGTGGCGCCATCCAGTCGTCAGTCGCGAGGCGTTCGCCGGGCAGGGAGGTGGTTGCGTCGTCCGCAAGGATACGTGGTCGGTTGCCGCGACGCCGCCGCGGTTCGCGCAGGCACAGGTACGAAGTACGAAGTGCGCGCGTTTTCGAGGCGGTATCACGAAAAGCGCAGGAGTGGCGTTTTCAACGTACACGTACATCGCGTCCGATATCGTTGCTAGACGGACCGTCGCTGACGTGCAGCGGTTGTTAGCGGAACGACGAGATTCGTGGCATCGACGAGAAAGACCAGGGAAGAGGAGGGAAGGAAAGAGATAGAGAGCAGCGCGGTTCTATCGCGCGGTGGAGTGCGAAAAAGTGTTCGCGAAGGAGGCCCTTGGCTTCCGATTCGTGCGTGAGTGTTGCGCGCGTGTCAGAGCGAGAGGGAACGGGCGAGAGGAACGTTTCGACGGGTGACACACGGTGGCTGGAAACGGGAGAGAGGAAGACGAATAAACACGGGCCGCCGGATTAATCGTTGTGTACGGTGCGCGGGTTTCGATGAAGGTGCGTCAAATGACAGTGAGGTGATCAATGTGCTCGAAACATGGCTGAGGAGTTGGTGGTCACCCTGAACCGCGGCGACTCGTCCGGATTCGGGTTTTCGCTCCTGGGTACCGCGGGCTTGCCGCACGTCATCTACGACATCGTCGAGAATTCGCCGGCAGCGAAGAGTGGCAAGGTGAGCATCATACATATACATACTTCTCGCTTCGATCGTTGTTCTCTCTTTTATGTACGTGTGCTCGCGTTTACCCTATCGCTTGCCAACCACAGACAGATAGGTAAAGAAAGAGAGAGAGAGACAGAGAGAGAGAAGTTCGAGGACGGTCAAAGGTGGAGTTGCGGAAAGAGCAACCCCAAGGCATTTACACCGAACACGCATGTAATGTGGGCACGTTACGCGCTCGTCAGAGTATTCTCCAAACGGCAAGGGCCTCAAAATAACGCCCGGTGTATATCGACCCGTGTTATTATCGCGAGCACCCTCTGTCGCCTCGTCTGTTCTGTTTCTTGACCTCTGATTACTTTTTATTCTCGCACTTTGCCAACCGTCTTGCTAGTGCTTCTTGCACGTCCACCCGTCTTAACGTAGACGGTTACGGGGATGCTGATTGGCTGGGTGGGATCGGTTTTAACGGCCACATTCCAGACTGTCGGTCGGTCCTTCTGCCTGCGTGTCTTCTCTCTTTCTTCTCCTTTTTCCTATCTCTTTCTATATCTCTATCCCCGTCTCTTTCCCCCTCTTGCTTTCTAGGGAGCGTACCCCTTCTCGACCGTCATACGAATCGGAAACTTTGAATTGAAAGAGAAAGATTGGAGCCCTTTGAGTATCCCTCTGATCTTTCCTTACAGACCTCTCGTTTGTTTAATAATCTTTTACTTAGACGTTGAAATGCTTCCAATGTTATATTCATAAACTGGAGAATCAACTGACTTGACTTTCTACGTATTTTTTACAAATTATGAACAGGTAAGATGTAGTAAGTACAATATAGTCGATTTTATATACATATTGTGTCGCGTCATACTCTTTACACAAATGCTACACTACGTTGTACTTTTCATTTCAGCTTCATCTTTACCAATTCATAAATTATAATGTTACTCCCCATTAAAGATTCTTAAAATATAAAGGTAATCTTAGAACAAAGGGGATCCACTAATAAATCATACACTGTATATTCTTAGTTAAATTCTTAAATAAAATGTGTTGGATCGATCTCGATTTATAACAGGCCACGTAAATTTCTTATTACGCGATCGTCAATGTTTGTATTATTATATCTTGGAATATTGTAAATTGAATATTTATCTTTTTTTTTTAATATTCTTTCGTTTCCCTTACGGTTCTTGGGTTTAATGTAAAATAGACCGATTGCTTTGTCGGAACTAGTTTCCAATACCGGTTACGAAGAAAGATGCGGATTTCAAATAGCAGATGCAGAATAGATTAATCGTTGTCGGACGAACCAGTTCCGAACAAGTTTAGAGGGAAAAAAGTTAGTAGTTATTAACACTGCAGCTACCGAAGTGGTCAATAGGGCCAGTTCGCAATTTGCCCGATATCCACTAAATCTAATGCAACGCGTTCTTTAAAATTTTCCATACTTGTTAGCGAAAAGACTAAGTAAGTCTGCCTTTCCCTACGTTTTGCTATGATTCTCTTTCAATGGTAAGAGGCCTCTCACCTTCCTCTAATGATGAAACATAATTCCTTTGTCAAAAAGCTTCTTTTTATACCCGTTTTGAAATAATAGAAGTGGTTTCGTTTTCGTTTCTATTTCGTTTGCTTACACATACGCGTATATGTATTGCCAAATATGTGTTTGGAACGCGTTACATCCGAACAGTCAAAGCGATCGTACGAAAAACGCATGCGCCCGACTTTTTGTCTTCTGCATAACCATCATTCGCCAGAAGAACGCGTGTAACAAAGGAGTGGCCGGTCATTACGCGTGATTGAAATGTGTCACTGCGTACACCGTCCGTGTTCCCCTTACCCACCCGCTTTTGTTTTTGAAACTCTTTAAGGTTCTATTTAGCAGAGTGCTGCTGCACGTGCATACATGCCTCCTTTGGAAAACGTGCACGCGGATTAGCGATTGGGCTTATCAATGCGCAACGTGTATATGCAGATAAAGATTGGATCCGCGATTATTGCTTTGCATAATTATCGTTAACACTTGCTGGTATTCGTAATTTTTACGCTGTACATTCGAGATACGTTATCAGGCATGAATTTATTTCGCCTGCCGGGTTCGGCAGGGGCGCGGAGACCAAATCCAGCGAACTGGATATTTCTTTTTAATTGATGCGACACGGTTGTGGGTCTCGAAAGCAGGTTAGGCCACTATATCGGCAGTCATTCAAGATTCATTGTTCGACCGATACAAAGAACGCGTAATATATTTTGTATTGTTCCTGTGTAGCTGCAAACTCAGTTCTTTAATTTCTTTGTTCGAGTCACTCGAATCATTATAAGTACTAACTAGAGCGGTTACCGTTCGATATCATCGGCGAGCTTAATAGGAAATGTACAATAAATCGGTAAAAATGTATTTGAAGATTAAAGACGACCGAGTCAGCCTGGTAACTATCTTGACAGTCATGTACTGAAGTTTTAGTGCAATGGTGCACTGATGCAAATTGCGTTGAACGTTGAGTACGAATAATTTACATTCTAAATCGACTAAGGGTACACTAAAACATTTAATTATCAGAAGATGATACATGCGGATGTAATATCACTAACAATAAGCAATATCCTTTAGAAACGCCTTCGCTCGCTTGTAATCATTTCTCTTATAACATTTGATTTAAACTGATGCTTTGCATAATTAAACGAGGCACGGTACGAAATACATATAGAAATTCCAATCAGTGTAATTAGATTCTTTTTCCTCTTAACGTCTAAACAAAAACTATATTTATTCATTCATTCGCGGATCGACTTGAACAGGTTCTCATTATCAGCAATCGTTTTAAATACAATTTTACGTATTTACACGCAACACGTTTCTTACCACTAATTTCGATCCGAGCTCGCTCGTGAAATTAATTTCGAACGATTCGCGCTCGCAATTAAATAGTACGTAAAAAATGTACACAAGATAACGTACACGCAATCACAGTTTCGTAGTAGAAAGGCGGCGGCAAGCGAGTTTATGAATAAGTGGCTGAGTAAGCGTACGTTTTATTATCTAGCCGCAGAGTTTGAAAGATTAGAAATACGTAATGACTTCTGTCAATTTGCTAATTAATCGATTTAATGCGTCCGCTCGGTTTTTCTACCGTTAATGCTCTTTCCTCCACGATAATTTCTCAATTAACGAGCTTAATAATTCGCCGGGTAGAACGGCGTTATGCAATGCCGTTCGCGTGATAATACCACGGGCGAAGTTGAAGTTTCTTGACGAAGAATCACGCGAGCCCGACAATTAACCGAGCGTGCGTCGTCGAATTTCTCGAATTTATCGATTGATCGCCCCCTTGATAGGTGTAAGACGAATGATCCTTTTCTGCTTTCAGTAATTGGGACTCTCGAGCATGTTACAGCGCAATCTTATGGATCAGCACTGTGCTGATGTTAGTATAAGTGCTTCGGCTACGTTTAATGGTATCCGTGATTCTCTTTTTTCACGATTAATCAATCCACCGTAAATTGAGAACACGTTTTTATGCGTATGAACTTCTTATTCCGTATTTAAATTGCATTTTATTTGGCGTTCAATTCATAAACCGCTCGAAATTCTGACTCGCCAACAAATATTCATGTCTGTATATTCTCTCTTTACAAGAGTATACAAACGTCCGACTCCAATTCCTCAGAATCCTTTTCCTCTACAATATGACTTCCACTCGAATCATCTCGTTCAATTGCCAATAACGCCGAATGATACTCGCGAGTCGATCAAGTTCAACACGTCCCGGTATATAAATAGGAATCAAGATCCGGTGTCGTTTCTAGACAGTAGTGTACATAATATGCTTATTTATAATGGGAACAGGCATAACGGGTCAAGGGTCGGTTGGATTGGAGACCCTGCTTGTATTAGATAGATGTAGACGCAGATGTTGCGCCAGACAAACGAGCAAAATCAAATCCGAGATAGTGTCCTATTTATTTGCAGCTTCTGCAATATCGTATCGACGTTACAATCGATACTATCTTAACTAACGTATTAATTTTCGTCGAATTTCCAATGAGTAATTTGATCTAAATCGGCCTCGATCGAAACTAGAGCGTGTAGATCCCTTGGCCTAAGGTAACACTCTTACCACGCCTTATTTCTCGGTTGTCCTTTGGAAATATTGCACGAGCTCAAGTGATTTTTATAGAACTTGAACTGAGAAATGTGAAACATATTTTTCCATTCTGCCCTTTTTAAAAGTCGTTTTGGTTTTTAAATGTTAATTCTCTAGTAAAAAATAATTTATCTTGTTTTATCTGCTATTATGAATCAAATTGAATGTGGGATAATTTGATAATAAATAATTTATATCTCAACCTGTAATACATATTGCATACCACAATTGAATTCTAAAAATTCTAAATCCCATGAAACAGTTTTCACTCTTTGATGCGAGGAAAAATAGCTCATTACTTACAGAGCACGTTAAAGTGCGTTGGAATATCTTTGCGTCAGGCGTATGTAACTTCGAAACATCGTTAAAGTGAGTTAAACGTGTTACTGTGCGGTTAGTATAATTTTCTGTTACGCCACGCCACGTTATACTTGATATATCATTTTAATCGAATCCAGCGGAGACGAGTTTGTATATTTTTCTTCTTCGTCAAAGAACGTGCAAATTTATATATGATGATTTGATATATTTTAAACAGATTCCAACGTAATTATGATTTTAGTTCGCCTTCCGTGATATCTACGTTTCGGGGATGGATTAATTACTTCTCGATTAATTCGTATCCACGCTATCACGCATCGATCGGTTCGCTATCTGTTCCACCATGATTCTTCATCCTTGACATTTGAATCTGTCGATTACCCCTTGCACCGGTGACACCGACAATTGCAACATTCCAAACGACATTCTAGTATGCGAACCATGTACCGTGCGTTATCGCGGAATTAAGAAATTACGGATTCGAAAGTTGCCTAGGAATGCGACACACTTGACAAAAGTGCTGTTTCTCTTAATGGTAAAAATTAGTATGTA